GTACGAGCGGTTCATCTATTCGAGACAAAGATCGCAACCTACTCCGCTTTTAAGGAAATTTACGGTCCCTGTTTTATTTCTTAAAAGCGGACACTAGCGTGGATGGATGAACTTTGGAAGTATATTTCGCTCATTTTGGATACGATACAAGTTCTGTAGTAGTGTTCTTCGAAGTAGTTTCTTTGCGTCATGACTTTTTGGTTTTGATCCATTTTTAGGATATCTTGAGTCCGATAAGTTGGAAGCTGTGGAAATTACAATTTTCTCATTTTCAATTTTAGAAAATTACCAAATATCAGAAATAGCACACTTAGTATAGGAATATTTTTACTAAATTTTTAATGTGCAAGATTTTGAAATATAATGATTACGATTACGAACTTTTCTCATTTCCAAAGTTGTTTAAATTTACTCCCAAACATTCGAGAATCGATTTCAGAATGATATTGTATTTTTGTACGAAATTTAAACATCGTGCAATTTTTTAAATTATCCAGTATATACTAAAAGGCTTGAGGCATTCAAAAAATACAAATAGCTGTCGAGAAATCACCTGGCCAATTAAATGTCACGCAGATAACAGTCAATTTTTACGTTTCGTACATTTTTTGGCGATGTTCGAAAAGTCCTCGCATGATTGGTATTACTGGGAATAGTATTGTTGGTAATATGTGAAATACAAAAATCGTCAACGAGATTATTGACAATACTTGGACGACACAAGTATTTAAAGTACAAAGAATATCGTTGACAGTGATACTTGCAATAGATGTAATATCAAAATAGTTAGAGTACTGACAATACTATAGATGACATTATTACCAGGATTTCAAGCATTAACCTAACCGACAATCTTCACGAAATATTCACAATCTTATTGGCAATACTTGAAACGCTGCGGTATTTAGAATCAACGTTGTAAAGAGAGCTCTGAGAATAGGATAGAAACATTTGATGTTATATAGAACTCACAATAATTGATAAAATTTTCCGTTACAGTGACAACAGTGGCAGGGTCAAGTACAGTTTCTACTCATGAGTATCGATAAATTCGGTATCCAAAATTCACTTTGAAAAATCGAGTACTATTTATAAAAAACATGTTTCGCTTCATGCATCTATGAAATAGATGATACATCGTCTAATTATGATTAAAATCCGGAGTAAGTACGTACAAAGTTTGAAAATATACTTATCAGTTAAAAGAATAAGAAAATATCCTTAAAATACTTCATTGTTAATTAACTTCATAGTAAATTACATTCATCCAAGTATAATAAATATTCTGCGTTTTGTACATATTATTAATTACAATAACCAACAAATTTATAACACCTTTCAAACATAATGTCGAATGAAAATATAAACTTCAAGAAATGCAATGTTAATGTATCCTATTGTAAATTAGTAATTGAGGTAGAAATACGATAGAATTTTATTTACAATACTTTTCTTGGCTACGCTTCGACTACGGTTTGTAAATATGTCTATTATTTTTTCTCTTATTCATATAAAGTTCGAACATATTCTATGGGGTTTCGATTCTACTTGTAACTATTGTTTTAGTTATCTGAAGTATTTACACAGGATTCAAATAAATACCATAAGATTTCGATATTATTTGCTATACATATACTTGATCCTCTCACTACTGTATGCTAATGACGTTCGTAAAGGCAGAAATACAAACAATAATAGGAAAATTTGTCGTAATCAAAGTTGATGGAAAATTAAGTCAACAACATTCTCACAACGTTATAGAAGAAAATATAAAGCTTCAAATTATTGTTTCTAAATGTTGCATCTGTTGAATTCTTTCCTCAGGCCACTCTCTACAACTTAGAATGTTATCGATAATAACAAACTATGCGAGGAACTTTTCGAAGCCTGTTTTTCGGTTTTAGTGTGCGTGCAGAAACTAATCGCACGACGGCGAACGAGTAAACGACGAGCGTGCGCTCCGATGGGAATTAATGAGACTTGATGCTTTCAATGAAATAATGAATAAGAATGGAGGTAACGGCGGTGTATATAGTTACAACATCGCTGCGATATATATATATATATATACACACATACATATACATATACACATACATATACATACACACATATGTATACGTATACATAGACGTATACACGTGTATATGTATACATATACTTACATACGGTAAGTTACATATTTACATAGAGACAGCAGATAGACGTTTAGTTCCACGTGTAATATGTACTATATAAACATTACATTCTTATGTATTATATCGTGTAACTTAAATGCTTAGTCACGTTTAGTGCGTATACAGTCGCTCCTCGAGATTTTATAATATTTCCTCAACGTGGGCCCTCCGTTTTACAATTGTCTTCTCTGTATCTCCATTTTTTGTGTGTACTTGTTTGTTACCCTTAACAGTAAATCGTTCTTATCCTATATATTATGTCACGCGACATCGCCCGACATCGTTGAGCCACAATAGATATGAATAAGGTATCTCACGACCGTCTATACATTATACTTCGCACGTTTCGGTTACATCTAGATCCTGTCTCGCCACGTATAAAAACCTTACGAAAATAGTTGCTCTATCATAAAATCCCACAGCTCTTATACGACGTACCATCTTACATTTTTACAAAGTGTCGGGGAGTAAATTTCAACGGCTAGTCGCGAACACGAGCACGCCTAGAGTCGTGAATCCCCGGGTAAAATGCCGCTCGCCGTCTCTTCGTTGATCGTTTGGAAATCTAACGGGCGGACGATACGAATTTGATTCCCAATCCCGGCACGCGCTTCACGCGGAAACGATCCGTTATAGATCGACGGAGTGTCCTCTGACATCGAGGAATAGCGCTGCGCAAAATTCGCATAAGGTCGACGAAATTCTCTGGCCACCCGTCAGCATGCAAAACATCTCACGGAACAAACATCGATCCGAGTAAAACTAGCCCTATTACGCATACCAGTTGATTACTTTGTCTTCAATTTTTTAGCGATATTAAATTAATATGTATTAACTGAAACGTAACGGTGGATCAATTGGTAGAATCGTCGAGTATTCCTAAACTTTAGTTAATGTACATAACAAACGTAAAGTAAAAATGAAATAAATATTCTGGTATCTTTCAGGTTCACCTTTGCTTTATCAAACGATAGAAAACAGAATATTAGATTAAAAGGTACAGTGACATTCCAATTTATTTTTTCGAAAGCACAGATTGTATATTTACTATTCTTGAACACCTAATTCAAAACTTTGACAAATGGTCTTCGATTAAATTTTGGTTTTTAAAAACATCGTAACCTAATCGTTCGCGCAACGTGGTGTACGATCTTTCCATGCTGACGAGTTATCCGCAGAATGTGATCAGCGCGAAAGTACGCGTAATATACGTAAGTTTCCCTACGATTCAATCGGTGAGATCAACTTCTAAAAAAAAGATACGCACACGCGACAAATGGTCGACAACCATCGAACGTTTACCGTCCTCTGGTCTTCCTTTGGCGATATTATGGCAGATAAATCCGAACGGTAGCGGCAGTTTTATCGTCGACCATTTGCCATCGGTACGTAACATGGTCTCTGAACTAGCTCGTAACAGGAGTTACTCCCCTGGAGCGTAAAAGGTCGTTATTGTCGCCAGTGACCGCGTTAATTCGTCGCACATGTAATCGATCGAGAATAATTCGAGACAAAACGGTAAGTCGGTCACTTCCGTCTTTCTCTTGGACACGTAGACACGGGGTTGGTGGCGGGTAGGCGTAAAGATGGCTCAGGGATAGAGACAGGCGACGGTTGGAGGAAGGAGGCAACGTTGATAACGCGGGCAAAAGACGAAAGCGCGTGAATCGTTAATTATTTCGATCGAATCGGTCAACGTTAAAACCGTCGTTGCGCACTGCTGGGTCGCTTGGCGCGCGTTCCGCCTTAATATAGTCTCGAGAGTAATTTATATAGGCATATGTAATGTATGGCACCTTAAGAAATCCCAAGAAGACTAGAATCGTCTAACGTTCCAATAAGAAAATATATGTGTATATACCTGTTGGAGTCGACCGTGCTACGATAAGTACAAGTAGAATACCTAGTAATCTGTATTTCTCGTACGAGGAGGTAATGTTTAGCAATCTTTCCGTCTCCCTTCCTATAATACGCACTGTCTGTCCCTCTCGTTCTACACCAGTAGCGTGTATAGTAACATCGTGTATGGAGTACGCAACGCACAGAGATATTTCAATGGCGTTACGCAACTCGAGAACGCACCAGCGATAGTCGAAAACGAGTCGATATCGTCTCGTTTCTCCAGTCTGTCATCCGCGCGCGATTACAGTCTATCACGAGTTCGCAGTTAGAAGATCCCCAGACCCTGCAAGGCGCGCGAAACCCATAGATCAGAATCAATAATATACTTATTGTTAGTGGTGGTTCGCGTACGCCGGGAAACGACAAGACTCAAATACTCGATTCTCTCGATATTCTTCGTCTTCTCATTCACGCAACGCGTCTTCCGGCTGCCCTCTGCTCGCCGCTGTCATACATCACCGCTAATCGCAATCAGGTGACTCGGTCCCATTGTTCCGCTGATTCCTTACAACGCTAGAAAGACGCTCGTGAAAAAGGAAGAGGCCTCCGACGTTTCCATAACCCTGGAATTCGACGATCATGCCCCCAGATATGTCGGAGCGAGGGATCTACGACAACGGCGAGCCTACGGAACCGTCGAAGGTGGTTGGTTCTTAACAAAATACTATTTCACGCGACGAACGAATGAACGACGGACTCGAGAAACGTTGTTCTTCGCGATGGTCGACCCACGCCGTGACGTATTACATACGATCGCGAACGAAAAGCTCTGTTCGACTCCGCGTCGACGACTATCCGATCCGAGCGACAATCGGTGCGATCAGCGCTACCTGGAACCTCGGACCGGCTCGCTTGAAACCCGTTCCGGGCAGCCAGCCCCGGAATAACCGAACATCAAATCTCTCCGCGACAGGATTCGTGCTTAGACGCCAGTGTGATTGAATATGTAGGAAACGTTGCTGTCCTGGTGCACGGGAGGCCCATGGCAGGCCCGCCTCGTCGACGAATTGTTGTTGTTCACGTAATAGGACGACTTCCTCATGCTCGTTGAGGAGGACATGATGGCCACCGTCTCGTAGTATCTGATCTTGCCGCAGCAGCGTCCGCTCTTCAGGATCGCCACGAAACCGCGACGGTACTTCTTGTTGAAGAACGCGTACAGAATGGGATTGATGCAAGAGTTGCTGGCGCCCAGCCACTGGGCGATCGGCGTCGCGATCTGAAGGATCTCGTCCTCTCGATCGGCAACGTTCACGCCCAGCTTGATCACCGTGAAGATCACGTAGAGCGGCAGCCACGAGAGGACGAACAGTATCACGACCACGACCAGCATCTTCACGACCTTCACTTTCGACTTCTGCTGTATCCTCTCCATCTGGGCGTCTTTGGTGTCGGTGGGTATATGCCTTCGCCATACCTTGATCCAGATCAAGATGTAGCAAAGGGATATCAAAATCGTCGGAAGAACGTAGCAGAGCGTCAGGTTGCCGATGAGGAAAAAGAGCGCGCCGTCTTCGGGGTGAGGCCACTCGTCCACGCACAGTCTAAGATCTGGGTCGTCGTCGTAAATGGCGACCAGGTCGAAGAACAGCAGCCACGGCGACGTTGTCGTCAGAGCGATGAACCAGATCACCACTATCATCATCCTGGCTCGCCTCTTCGTGATCTGACACTTCAGCGGCCACCAAATCGCCAAGAACCTGGAAACGGGAAGATCGACGTTAGAAAAGATGCGATCACCGGGACAAAGTACTTTAAGGGAGAAATCAACCCTATTATTTGAGATACATCTTCTGTTCAAATTATAAACGATAAAAGATATCTAAAAATAGAAGAATCGAAAGCCTCTTTCTATGCCTGGCATCGTCCCTGGGACTCTATCGATACATAATAATTATAAGATACGACGAGAGATACGAAACTATCATTTTTGTTGCTTCGATGATTTATGTCGGTGGATAGATCATCGTCGATCGCGGTATGTTGATAACGGGCTGTCTCGATCCGCGTGTGCAATTTCAGAAAACGACGAGGATTGCTACGAGAAGGACTGTACTCGAAACATAAATATGAAAACAGTGTTTACAATAGTTTGATATTGTTGTACTATCCACAATGTAAACGACCCTTTTGTATACTATTCTATCTATGGATGGGTGTGCGTACTTTAGTATTATATTACTATTATATCAGTAGTAACTTAGAATAAATTTTAAATAAAAGTATATGAGAATAAATTAAAGATACATTACTCAATCCACTTTTATTGTCATTCTGAACATTTAGATACGCCATTAAACGGAGTACCTAACTCAAGAATAATATTTGACAAATCTCATGAATTATCTTGTAGGAAGGACCTCCTGCACCTAACAATATTGTATCGTTCGTTCTATACTTTTAAGTCAGATTATGTGTCTATGTTGGAAAACTGGAATTCGCTAAGCCTCCACTTTTATACGCAATGTGTTTGAGTCCGTGTGCTCGTTTTTCTCATTACGACGTACAAAGTCGTTAAATAAAATAGATAAATGAAAAATAAACGCGCAGCAGGCTTTCGAACGACTAGGCGGCTGAGCCATGCCATAATGTCCAAGCACACGGCGGACAATCCATTAAGAGGGATTGTTCGTCGAGAGTCTGCTGTCATTTTATGATCCGGGGATACGAGTTCGAAGCACGAGAGACTCCTACGCAGCAACGAAACGCGACTGTTCGTTTTTATACCTCCATTATGGAAATGTATATTCTATTCGCGGTTTCGAAAGACTCTCGGTTCGGTTCCGCTTGGTCGGACGCGGCAGCCGCGTGCAGACACAGCAAGGTCTCCTACACGCGATGGCAACTCGACATTCCCGAGTCGCGGTCTGCAAAACGAGTCCACATCGTGCTAACACTCGTCCCGATAAGGCGTTGTTCGCGGGAAATTTATTAAGCAACGTTTTCCAACGGATTCGAACAGACCCACGCCCCCACCCCCGGAAATTGCAGCGTCGTCGTTGGAGGAGCCTCGTCCCCAGTCATCCTCGAGGTCGATAAAATCCACCCAATGCGCGAAATATCTCTTTATCATGCAAAAGAAGAGCCGCGTATCAAAGAAACTCGAATAGACACCGCGGCGTTCATTAATTAAGGGTTTACACCGCTCTTGAAATGAAAAATTGTTACGATTCTTTAGGAATTGATTGCAATGGAAAGATTTGGACTCACAGAACACAAATCTGCATTGTTAGTGGGGGTATAAAAGTATTTCCATTCATCTAGAAAGTCGAGTTTTATGCAAAATGCCGGCCTTGATTAAAGGGGTGTTTTCTTGTACATGATTTAGATACCTTAACTCACTTATTGTTGTTCGTTAACAGCCCAAATCAAAGCTAAACGTATGCAAACGTTGAGAATATAATATATAGTATCAAAAATATTTTATCCACCCCAAAGTTTCCAATTACATAATACTGGAAATAATAATGTAAAGTTGCTCGAAGTAGGTGCACCAGAATCCGAATGATTGCCGATTTTGGCGATTATCGATCGAACCGCCATCCGCATTGGAGGATCCCCCGCGATCGAGGAACGCGCAGGGGCCATTAGCGAGGGAACTTTTTATTTCTGAGCAGCGAAGGTCCTCGTTTTCCCTCGCGAGAATGACGCGTTGCTTTTAATCAAAGCTTAGCGGCAAACAGTCCTGTCCTTCGATTAAACGAACGCGAACGCTGTCGCTGTCGACGCTAAAGAGTCCTTCTATAAATCAGAGGCCACGATACCGATCTGCGAGCGGTTGCCGTCGTCAACTTCCGAGTGCTACACGTCCCGTTGCATATTTATGACGCGAAGGTGCCTACGTTCGGCGAAGATGCAGACAAGAAGGACGAAAAAAATCGCTCGATTCGCGGACACGGATTATCGGAACGATCGAGGCTGCAGCCCACCTATAGCGCCGCGGCAAACAATGAAGATGACACGGCCCGTATATATAAAGAGTTCGATTTCTGTAGTGCCAACAGCAGTATCCATTTGCGTCCCTTCGTGTTTGCGAACGGAAAAGCCGATAAAACGTTTAACATGTTCAAGCTGGCAAGTATACCTATCGTACCTATACATATATGCGCTTACTTACGTGTACGTATATGATCGCGCGGCGACGTTCGAAAGTTTTGGCTGCGCGTGTTAATGAGGACAGAAGCTCGTACTTATTACCGAGCTGTCTATCGTATTATGGCTTACGTAAAGTACACGTTTCAATTAGCATCGAATATATTTCTAAAGTGTTTTAGCCTTGCGAAAGGATTTTAGAGAATTCAACAGGAACGTTTCCTTTTTTCTTCTCATCCACAGTAGACGCTATTAAATTTATTTGTTTCTTTAGTTCAGTACAGAGATTGGTAAATTCTTATCCGACTATCAATTTTGAATAACGTATTTAAACCGAGTTACACGCTTTTAGAATTTTTGTCCGTTTGCTCGTACAAAAATAGGTTTTGTGAATTGTTAACAATTATTTTGGTTACTTTAGAGAGAATGTCATGACAGTTATTTAAAATCCGATTAGTAAGAACTAGCAGAACCGAGTAACCTCCAAAGTATATTCGAAAAAGAGATATCACTTAGGCCAAGGATTCGTCAGATATCGCTACACAAAATCTTGTTGGGCGATTGTAAGTATCGTAAAGGACATCAAGACACAGTCTATTCTTTACCGGATTACGTTTTATCCGGCACAATTTGCAACATCTAGCTTTCGATAGTCGTGGTCTAAATGGTGTTTGGTTTACTGTGCTGAAATTCACTTTCTAATCAAGGTATCAAATTAAATATATTCTTCAAGAACGCTAAAATTACCGCTTGGGCCAAGGATTCGTTAGGATTAAAATCTTGTTCTAAATATCACAAAGGACATCAAGACACTGTTTATTCTACACTAGAAAACTATTTTCCAACCGTATAGAACATCAAGTTCAGAAATAATATGATTTTTGACATGTTTTTCTTAAATCGTCCTTTGTGTTCAACAGATGTTACTGCTGGCTGTAGCCATGGTGGCTGTAACGTGTGCGCCAGCTCCGGTGCCGCCACTGATTGCACCCCCATTGGTCTATTCGCACCCCTACGTGAAAGTCCTGCCAATCCACCCTGCAGCTGTTCCTCTATCTTACAATCACGGATACAAGTGGATACATCCTGGCTCGGTCTACCTCTACTGACGACACATCACCTAAAACTCCACCCACAACCTCTACGAGAACGTTCCGCCGAGCGGCAGCGTGGCCAACTAATTTTGTACCCGTTCGAAATGTGAAATAAAACGCCCTCGAAACGAACTTATTCCCTTTTTCTAACTAATTTCGCTTTCGAAGTCGCTCGACGTCTTTCACGCCGATAGTAAAATCTGTCGTGCCGTTGGCAGCGACCAGAAAGCTTCGAAACACACCACGCGATGCAAAGGGCGAAGAACTTTCTGCAGAGACAGTTTGAAACGGTCGTAAACGAAGGGGGTGTGCGAAGACTGGGCACAGAGGACGTGGTTTATGCGGCCATTTACATACATCGACAACAACAGACATTCATCCGGTCGCGTCTGCAGTATCAGACGAAGTATCGTTACACGTGTAGATACGTATTTTCCTTATCAGCAGCTTTCAGGGTGAATGCTCGGAAAGACGCAAGTAATTCGGTGTCTGGTTCCGGAGATTTTCCGGGAAAACGAATTCTAAATCTCGGAAATTTCCAGGTACATATTCTCCCCAAAATTTTTTCTCTGGTATCGATAGCGAATATTATTTTCGTTTGGTAGTATTTTTATTAAAATTCAATTTCAATCGAAAGTAACTTGATGTTTCTCACTGTTTATTTTACCCTCGCTGAAAAGCACTGTTTTCGTTCTGCTATTTATGTTTTTTTTTTATTGGTGTGGTGGTGAATATTATTGGTTTTTTGTTTCAGGGATGCAACGATTTGAACGGTGTACTTCGATGTAGAATTCTCTCTCCTATTTTCATCAAAATCGGCGTGTTACGAATTATAAAAGGTAACTATCGTTTCCAGAGAATCTTCTTCAAATTCTGTTCTTCACATTTCTTTTTTTTTTTTGCAGTGGTAAATATAAATTATTATGTAGTGACGTCCACCGTTAAGATTTACCCTCTTTTATGACTGCAAGTAAGTTACATTTCATCCTGAGTCTTCTAGAGGGCACCAAATAGTTAGAACGCGCATCAAACAAGAAAAACAAAAGCGGAATAATACGAAATAATACGATTTATATAATGTAAAATAGGAAACTACTCTATGGCTACTCATGACGGAAGAATCACTTCGATCTACAGTTATATAGATCGATAAACCATATCATCTCCTTGGCTACCACTCACACTCATAACGTTAACTTCTTCTCCGAGCTGAGTGAACCACGTATGTATAAAATACGTCAAATACTTTGCGATACGATTATTTTCCAAAGGTACGAAAAGGGTGTAAATCCGTTGAAATAAGGGTAAGCTGTTGAGCGTATTTTTTAAATAAAATTTTATTAAAATTCCGTATGGCCAAAGGGGTAGGGGTCCTGGATGATGGTACAAAATGATTGAGATGCGAATGTCCGAATTACATTGATGATCTAAAATTCGCGAATGCACATAAAGGAAAGAGACTAGCCGATTGGGACGCGATCCAAAACCGTGAACTCGCGTCGTGGACGTATTATCCTGAATGTCCTTCGCGCTGCTTCGCTGTCGGCGACGTGCACGTGGCGAATCCGGTGGCTGGACGTCATCCTGATGCTTGGATAGCAGGGGAAGTGAATTTTGGTTCCTTTTTCATCGTTCTTCGAGCTATGGTCTTTCCTTCGTTTCTTTTTTTTTTTGTTTTTAAAGGGGGACGATTTACGCAGGAAGAGTGGGGGTGGTGTGGTGTGCTTTTCTAGGGGGCTGTCTCGTCGTGAGTTGGCGGTGGTAAGATAGAATAATCCGTCATTTAATGCAAACCTCCGTGGGCGGAGAGGAGGGGCAGGGGAGCGGCAGTGAGGACGGACTTGGTGACGATCGCGGGAGTGCGGACGATGGGGGAGACGGGCTGGGCAGCGATCACGGCGTGGGCAGGTGCGGCGACAGCGGCGCCCAGGACCAGAGGAGCCTGGATGGGTCCAATTGCATGGTCGGCGACGATGCCAGTAAGACCACCGGGAGCAGCGGTAGCGACAGCCAGAACGGCGGCGAGGACAGCCTGTGGGGAATATCACCATTCGTTACTCTCAACCCCAACCCACTTGGCACTCGATCTTCGTATCCTAGCTTCGTTCTGTACGTTCTGGACCAAATTTCGCGACATTTACCCTCAGTACTATAACCCTTTGAGCAATTACATCTTCGCAGAAGACGAAAATCCCTGAGCTTCGATCATCTTTAGTCACCTTCGACGAGTGTCAACTAGGTTTGTATCTTTGATTTGAACTTAAACTTCTACAGTCTAATGTGCAACGAGATAATTCTTGAATCTCCATAAATGGGACAGACTTTTCAATTTCTCTAGCCCGACATGTAACGAACGAATCGGTATCGCGTTGAAAATGAAACAAGTAGCCATAATTATAAGAAGAGTTTTCGGACGTATATCGTTTGTAATCTTAAACCACCCGTCACGACTACGTCGTAACGAGAATCTTTCTTCGAGGCAATAGATAGGAGGTTCTGAACGATATATCAGAAACTGTCGTCCACGGAGCGAACAATCGCAAGGAACGCGTTTGCGGCAGCTTCGATAGACGTCAAACCCATGAATGCACTTATCAGCGATCCCGCAGAAACCGATACTCGTATAATTGACTCGCGTGTTGGAGATTACAAAGCAAGTGACGTTGACGCAAGAATAGCCAAGCGTGCGGTACGCGAGAAAACGCGATGGGGTTTCGCGAAGGAACGCCTATATATAAAGAGAGAGAAAAGTGTTCGAGCTGCATTCCATTTTGTCCGGCTGCGTTCGCCGTTTGACTCGGCCAGCCAGCGATGTTGGCTAACAATGTGCATGCTCCAGTGGTTTCGCTCGGATTTTTGTGACCGGATGGAAACTCGGTGTCCGTTCGAGTGAATGTAAGGGCCCGTTCGTACATACGGGGCGTGCACGTTGCGAGGCGGAAAGGTCACGGTGCGACGGGAACCGCGATACGTTTCTTTCCCGTCGAGAATCGATAGCTTGCCGATCGAAGAGGAAGGAATTTTCCCAGAGTGCTGTTTAACGCGTCCGTTCGACTTATGCGGGTCTATTTCGAACGTGTTTGCCTAGTAGTCTGTCGATCTACGAGGAGTCTATTCTTTGTCGAGGGAACCGAGACATTTCGAAAAAGCAGATACGAATTGATTTAAAGAATGATTACAAAACAATTACTGTCATAAATTGAAAAGCCATCGAGTATTCGAAAAATTGTGAACAGCAAAGAGTAGACGATTCCCTGATCAGGCATATATTCGATGCTCGTACGAGCAAAAGGAAGAACACTGATTCATTTATAGAAAAAATGTTGAAAAAAGGAATTATCGTGTTAAAGCAGTAATCAAAAAGTAGGTTTTTTACTGGAGAATCGAAGGTTCCACTCGAAATTACAAATTTAGTTTCTCGTACGTGTCCAGAAATATTATCTTGATTTTTTAATGTATCGAAGGTACGGTCGCAAGTCGATAACCGCGAGAGTAATTTTCCACGAAACTGGTGAACCGATCGACCGTGGTTTAGTAAAGAAAAAGTAAACAAGTTCTTCTTACCAACTTGAACATGTTGATTGGGTTGTAGGTTGCTTGGTTACTTGTCGAAAGTAGGTAAGCTTATGCTCAATGTATCGGCTGGCGGTCCTTTTATACAAAAGTCGATTTCAAAAAATCGTTATAAATTTGATCACGTGGTCCGCCGTTTGACAGTCTGACGTTATGCGCCGGCCGGTTGAGTCAGCCGGTCAGGCGATCAGAGTGGGGTGCCGTTTGCCCAATGCACGTTCGGTATCGGTACGAAACGGCAGGCAAACAGCCAATCGCGTGCTTTCAACCCCTCGCGATCGGATCGGGGAATTGGGTTAAGACACTGTATGTGGAAATAGTTCAATCGCTTGCTTGCGTTTACACGGCCAGGCTACCGTGTGTGGGTGACACACAACCGACTGGTCAGGGTAAGTATACGTTGTATGTATGAAACGTAACGACCAACTATACTCTCTAAATGCAAACCGATTTTGTAAACACGCAGCCAAGGTCTTCTTCTTCTCTACAGGACATAAAGGGATTTTACTGAAATATTGAGCTAGCCGAACAAGGGCAGTTTCTTTGCACAAAAAAAGAGTCGAAAATGCGAAACGAAATTTTTTCCAATACCGTGGATTCCTTGTACAATAATTAATCGAAAACATAAATTATGCAAATATAGATCGAAAATGCAAAATACGATTTTTTTCGTACCATATTCGTTCCTAGTAGAAAAGTAAATTTTTTTATATTACTCTGATTTAACGAACAAAAAAAAGGATTGAGAATGTGAAACTAAATTTTTCTATATCATGCTAATTCTTTGTACAAGAATGAATTGAAATACAAAGAATACAATTTGGTTTTAAATATTATTTACTCTTTCGCTTAAGTACGTAAACGTGCATAACTTACTAAATTTATTTTCAATAAGAAATATTTCAGAATACACGTATGTACGTGTTAATGAGAATAACCTTGTCTTTTTACTTGCTATCTTTCAATTCCAATTACAAAACCGTAATTTATAATTGACTTCCTCGAAAACGGAGCCTCGTAGTAAAACATTTTATTACGCCTTTCCGACTTGCTTTTCCAAGGAAGAACCAGCCCTTTTACGGTCGAACAATTTCAGCTGGACACTGGGTAGGTGCACGTCGGTTTTTCAAATAGAGAGGACGCGTCGGGAAATCTTTCGAGATTCTTGGAATAGCGTCGCTCGGTCCCCTGTGTCTCGATTAAATGGAATTCGAATCCTGCCAAGGGGACCGTACGCGAGCATCCCTTGGCCCGTCTCTGGCAGGGACCAGCTCTCGAATTCCACGACAAACCAAGGGAAAAGTTGCGGAAATCGAGCCGTGGAACGTGCCGCCGAAACCCGACGCGACGCTTCGATCGACCGATGTAACAGCTGGGGTGAAAACGCGATTAGTAATCGGAATTCACGAACACTTGTAACTGTCTGACCATGTAGATGACTTACGCGTAACTCGAGAACGAAACGTTGAATTTTCTTTCGGGCTTAATCATGGTTACAGCTGACGGAAGTGTCGTGATTTTTGTTTAGTGGATCCTAAGAGCAAGTGGACACACGAGTTGCCGCGTGAGATTAGAGTTGTGCATATTTACAGGGCGTTCGGTTACCAATAGTAGTTTCAAGAGAGTTCAGTGAACCGAAATAAAGTTCGAAGAAAATTGGAAATTTCTGAAAAACATATATTACCAATGTTAAAATAGATATAATGAAATTGCACTTCTGATTTTTATAAAAACGACAGTTTGTGGACACTTTGGTGAGAAAAATAAAATAAATCACCATCCAGAAATGTCCAAGTGAAATCGTTCTTTATCTGTATCAGGAATCGAGAAATGAGTATTTCGTGAGAAACGCGAATGTCTGTAACGATTATGAAGAGAAAGTATCGTTCGGTAGATTTTAAATTTAGTATATTATAATATAAAATTAACGTTTAGCGAAATCACGGCGCTCATTGGGGCAAAGAAAGATTGTTGTAAACAAGGATTTGAAAGAAGTAAAAAAGTCTTATTTACTGTAAAAGTAATTATTTACTGACAGAACTACTATATTAAACAGTCTTCTGAAATCTGTATAAATAAAATAATAATTTTGCCTGTGATTGTACAATTTTAATACGATTTTTATAGCGTATCTGAACCAAATTATAGTATAATAAATTTTGGAAATGAAAGATTATAATGAATCTTGAAGACGGAAAAACTATGTATGATGCATTTTTAATGATGTTAAGCTGCGATGAAGTTTGAAGAGTGGAAAACTATAATAGAGTTTCAAGGTGGAAAACTTTAATAGGGTTTGAAGGTGGAAAACTATAATAGAGTCTGAAGGTGGAAAATTATAATAGAATTTGAAGGTGAAAATCTACCATAACTGGAGGCTACTATATAGTTCGAGAATAATGAGAACAAAATGATGATTGAAAAGTAATAATTTCACTTCCAGTAATTATAGAGAAACTTCGATATGCTAATCTCTGTTAATCATCGTCTACATAATTGATCTCGGAAATTAAGCAACTTCTCTGGCTACCCGATATCAACTCGTCCTGTTCGACTATGTAACAGAGACCGCATTCCTCATCTTTGGCGCGTTCCTTCGCGGATTACGCCATATTAGGAAGTCCAGCGTGGTGTTGTAATCACAATCGCCGCGAAACATCGAGACGTGAAGCAAGTGCGGTAGGGTGTCGTGTGTCAACCTCACGGAAGTCCTGTACACGACTTTCGGTGGGTGCAAAACGTGGGTCGACATGCCGCGGCGACCGCTAACGCGATTCATATCGCTCAGAATCGGTTGATAAAAATAAACGAAAAGCTTTTCGAACTCTTATCTGTATTTAATCCCGGATACGTGTCGCGATAGCTCATCCGACGGCCGCTTGTACGTTTCGATAACATTTTTAGTTTCGAGGAAGAAATTTATTCACCGCCTAAGCCGTATTTACGCGTTGGATAAGCTATAGCGATAAACTACCAAATCGGAGCACCAATTTTTTAACAATTTAGTACACATCTAAAAACCTAATTTTATTAAAACATTATGCGTTTATATATTATTGTATTATTGTATTATTGCCAAACTCATGAAGCCATTCGTGGCAAAACTTTCAAAAAGTCAAATTTTAAAGAACAGCGTTGAAAAGAATGCTTATAGCTCCAATTTTCTCTATTTCTTATTTCGCAGTGTTTGATTTTTGAAAGGCTTAGATGATATTAATAAGGACCCGTTTTCTCAATGTGAAAATTATAAACGAATCGTTATCTTGTAAAAGTAGAATGAAACAGCTGGTTAAAAATCTAGTTAAAAGTCATTCTTTGTAAAATAAGCAATTTCTAATGTGGTTGCTTCATAATTAACATCTCAACGAGCTGTTAAAGGTCGCGGTTTGCTCCGTCTCAGGTAACTGACCTATGCGCCCCAGTTGTTGCGGTCGGCGGACCTTACTGCCTTCGTGTTATATTGTTTCACGGAACTTTACAATAAAAATTGGCAGGTGTCGCGATCGTTTCAATCCTGATGCACTGTATTGTCCACTCATTCCTTTTTTAGGCTATTTACAAAAGTCGCGACTAGAAAACAATCATTCTTTCGGAGGACCTACAAACGTTAAGGGAAGTCTCTGCTTCGTGACAGAAATTACGAACGACTTTGAAGTTTCCTTCCGCTGCGGTGATAATACTAGGCAGCTGTCGTCGAGCTTCCGAAAAAGAACACGTTCGAAATTCAATTTCAACCCCTTTCTCTGGGTGCATTAAAGCGCCAACAATTACGTTTCGATTTTTCGTCCTCGAAGGACACGCTCGAAGGCGGAAGTCCGCGATGGCTCGTTGGATTTACGTCCGTCTAAAGGTGTTGCGCCGGGACGAGACTATCGGGAAAGATATATGTATTTCCGGAGATGGCAATTCGCCGCACGAGCGGAAAAATGGCGACGATAGAGAGAGTAATGCATCGCTGCCCGAGCGTTGATCAGAAGGTAAGACAACTTCGAGTCACGGACGATCCCTTTCGCCAAGCAATTTCAGCGAGATCGATCGCTTCCGAGGATTCTATAAAACTATTTCGCAAGCCCACTACCGGCAGCCGGGGACCGTCTAACGTGAAATTGACAGGAAATCATTCGTCGACGATATCCAGTCGTATTGCCCGCTTCCGACTGATTCCATCCGCGCCAGCTGAGGTTCTCGCGGGATTAATCTATTACGATGAGTAACGCGTGTCCTACCAGAACCTTGCGACAAAGTGATTTACGCTCGTTCGATGAAAATACTTGTGGGAAGAAAAATAAATGCGTGCGAACAGTGGCGAATCTAGGACAGGCTAAAAAGATTCGAATTTTCGATGGGTATTTAATACTTGTCGAGGAATTATGAAATTAAAATTTAGATGCAAGATTTTGTTGACCAAATGGTTACTACTATATACTGCAATCGAAGTCATTCTACAAACGTGTTTGATCCTAATGAAAATGACGACGTAGCATACTCTACACATTTGATGTATAAAATCAAAGAGAGAGAAATAATGCAACTGTAATAACGGAAAAAATTTGGGGTGGTCCAGAAAAGGGACTGCAGAATGTTAAAATTCATCATAAACTAACGTATCATTATACCTACTATGACAAATTATTTTTTATTAAAATCTCCTTATCTGCGTAAACATTACGGAGAATGGTAAATATTTTTTACAATTTCCAGATCTCAAACGTTTTGAATCCTTGACGTCTAAAAATAAAATAAAAAATAACATCCAAAAATGCAGAATTTACGACCCCTGCCACTAGACACAGACAGAAATAAATATTTCTAGAAACTAATTATTTTATGAGAATGAACCGTAAGGGTTGAAACGGGACACGAGCAACGTCTGTCACCAAGGTGACACAGAAAGGCATTAAAAGCGAAAGGACAGGGTCTGCTGGATACGCCATACCCGGGGATGACATGCAATATCTTTCTCTTCCTTCTACTATTAATCATTAATCACTGTCCAGCGATTTCTTGCTACATAATACAAAGTCAAGTTGAATGGTCTGAAAATAGTCAAAGTATTTATGTATCTATGACTTCGATCCTTAAAAAAGTTCCGTTCTTAACGTATCAAATTTTTGATAACGAAATATATCCAAAATACAGCTCGCGTAGAAAATAAAAATAATATACTAAATATTATTATAAACCGTAATATAATACATCAAAATAGTCGGAATATCGGTTTAAATTTTTATTCATCCTAGCAGACTGTTTCGTCCTGGTGGTTAATCAGAAACGCGAGAAAAGTGGACAAAATGGCGTCCAAAACACAAAAAAAAGCGAGACTCACCTAGGGTATTGGCACCGGTTTAACGTACATCATTTTTATAACGACACTAAAAGGCAATATCGCGCGAAACGAAGCGAAAGAATAAATAACTCGTTTCGGGGAAACCTAACGCGCTTTGTCTGAAACTCTTGGTGAAACTTGGTCTGCTGATTTCGGTATTTCAAAGGGACGATGGGGCGACCTTGTTGGCGTTCGGGAGAGAGACGTCGCCGTAGCGTACGACGCCAGGGCTTGCAAACGATGCCAAAGTTATTCGAGACGTAAAAAGGTGGCTTCGAGAGCTGAAAAAAGAATTTCAAAGGACACCCCGTCCTTTTGTACATCCCCTTATGGCAGCGTGCCAATGAGATCGTTAAAACGATGGAAGGAAATTCAGCAGATAATTTTCATTTAATTAAGGGGCACAGAGTTACCGTACGAGAATTCCGTGAAAACGAATTAACTTTCCGTTAGTTATCGTATTTTAAATATTCAAGAAATCTCTGCTCAAAGACATTTTCGAGCAATCAAACGTTCAAGCGCGGACTAAAAGTGTATCGCGACACGTCGAATTGCCACCATGAATTGTTAATTTTAATGCTTCGAATCATTAACGCTTTCACAGTCCTTTCTCTTCTTTTTAATGTGACTGATTTGAATTCCTCCGCGTACGACGTTGCTTTAATCTGATAGAATGGAATGCCGTAAACAGCAATTTCGTTCGAAATTATTAACCTTCGAGATCAGGTTCCTCGTACTTTTATGCACCTTCGAATCAAACATAGACCTTCGAGAGTTCTGATTCTGTCGACCAATATTGTGCAGGGTCATTTTAGAAACTGGAACGAATCGTAGTTGTGTTCTAAGCGAAGACGCAAGAAGTTGAATTCCGTTATGTCATCTATCTTTTTACGATGGAACTTTTTTTATACGATTGTGCAAGAGTGCCATTGCGTTTTTGCATAATCCAGGCGAGTTAAGGGCTCCTAATTTCTTTATTCTATCCCGTTCCGTCGTCGTCTCTTCGATCGTAGATCCAGCTTCTCCGAGAGATTGTCAATTCGATGATATAGCGCTCACCTTGTTCTTATTATGATGCTAACATCGGTATCCATTAAAAGCAGTTAGAATGTCACAATAACGCAGAAACACGTCGATGGACGCGTAACCGCTCGTAACGCAGACCATAATTGTTACAGCAGGGAGCACATCGCTATGCAGATGAGAAATAAATGTTTCACTGTTAGAATATGCGTTAATGATGTGTCGCAAGCGTTCCATTGATTTCGTAATACGTAATGGCACATTTGTCCAGTTTCTTGGTTTGCTTTCGCATCGCGGAGAACGAGCTTAGTCATGGTCCGATAACGAGTCACCACAACCAGTCTGTATACTGGTAGAGTCTATTAATTATCTCGTAGCGCGAAGGAAGAGTGATTAGGTGTCGGTGAGAAGCTTGACGTATTCATTGTTTCTACAAAGTAACCCTACAATTGGTCTATTGAAATTCGCACGGGACTATCACGTATCGTTTCGGAACACCCACATCTCAGTTTTTAGGAAAATTGTACAAATTCGCCGTCCTTGCGTTAGAAACAGTAATCTGTACCGAATAAAATTGTTTAAAGTATGTTATCAGAAGAAAAGTTTGAAAGAAATTTGAAAAAGAAAAGGAAAAAATAAATTCTGATAAATTGATTTCAGCATAATGCAAAGTCAAAAGTTGATCTGTGCCGTTTTTCATTCTTCGCCTAACCTTAATTTTTCCGTTCATAATGAATAAAAAATATGAGAGCGTCAGTGTTTGCTTTTACGTTACAGTTATAACATAATTTGAAATATAAATACTAAACATTGAATGTTAAAGTGTATGGGTATACTGGTAGCCTTGAAGAGATTAATGAATTTGTGGGAACAGGTGTAAGCAAATAGCTATCTGGCGATGCTATCTGGGAGCTTGAGTTTAATAGCCATAGTAAAACACAGTGTTTAAAGTTAATCTGATACATAGCTACCAGTAATGGTGATTAATCGAAACAATAAAGAATCTTCAGCATCTCTTTGTTACAGAATATTCTAAATAATATTGTTCGACCTTTCGATTCTTCCGATGCATCTTGAAGGGACCGAGTAAATAATGCTTGTTTTCAATGTATCATTATTTTCTTCATATTCTGAATAAAATGACCTGAATGCACGTACTAGTTACACCGAGAAAACCTTCTGAAATTTATTTCATTTACTCGAGAGTATTCGTATCAAATGGTGATGATTCTTTTATACGAAACACCTGTTCGAAACGAAGTGTATATCAAATATTCTTCTCTACAATAATTTCTTGTCTTCTCAAAAGTAGTCAAATGACGTTATGTATTGTTTAGTTCCATTGTGCACCAAACAGGACATAAATTCCTTATCGCGCTCATCTTACATATTTAAAAAAGAAAAACGAATAGAAATTGCTGTACATTGAAATGATTGTATTCTTTGGTAAGACACCCAAAATTTAAATCTAAGCTCATTGTATAGATAAATTGGGTATCAATGAACGGATCACGGTACGTAATAAAAATCATGATATGTCTGATTCTTCTGCGTTTTTCAGAAGCAAAAGTCCTTTAATTTATTTTGAATTTGCACAAGAAAAAATCAGAATGAATACAGTGAAATTCCTGCAATAACTGTTACGGGAATCGCGCTTGGTTCTCGATAATATGCACGATTCCGACTGTCGAGTGATTGTCAGCAAATGCGCAATCATTCTTTGAAAAGTTCAGTGCACGTGTACATACCTGTCCAAGGAAACTGCAACAAGACTGTAGACAGAGGCCGCTACGGAAACGCCCTGTATATAAGCGACTGCTTTGCACATGAACCATCCCAGAAACCATGCTGAAACAGAAGTGCACGGTTTACAGTTTCAAAGTCATATAGTAAAATAGAATTTTAACTACCATCGGAGCAGGTTGTTTCTCTTTAAACGATAATTTCAATACTAAGAGCCTGTCCGATGATAATTTGTACTTTTGAAAAGAACAAAGACACGCGTTATTTAAAAATCAGCAAAGAAAGGGTTTAACCAGAAATAGAGAAAAATTTTATTCGAATAATAGACGATCGTTAACTCCTTCCCGTGGCATTTAGCTCGACGAAATCCGGGCCCAAACGGTAAGCGTCAACGCGCGGTAAAGAGACCAGGCTGATGCTAAAATGCTTTGTAACAGAGATTATAAGAATCGTGACCAACTCTTGTGGCGTACTGATAGGAACTAAAACTCAATCACGATCGTGATTTGTTGTCTACGAGCCTGACTCGTGATGTTCACGTTTATGTCGATTTTCTGTTCGCGAGTCTGGCTCGTGATATTCATGTTTGGGCTAAAATCTTCATCACGAAAATTTCATCAGACTCGTTAAAGTACGGAAAGGGGTTAAAGCAAACGTATAACTATTTATTAGAGAAAAAAATTTTCTTGATACGCGTGTAACAATTTATTAAATCGAAATAAAATTTATGTGTTAAATGAAGTGATTTTCACGTTAGTTTTCCGTGCTCCAAAATGTCGGTCCGCAAAAGGTTGAACGCGAGTGACAGATCGTCAAGTATTCGAACCTTAGAATTAAATGGTTTAAATGCAGGAAAGGTGACAGTCGATGCGAGAAAAAATTAAAATTATACAGTACGATGCACGCGACAGCGCTGTGGGCTTAAGAGTTCTAGAAACGCTAAACGTCTATCCGTGTAACGAGCATAAAAAGGAACGAGGCTCTTTCTGTCAGCCAATACCTATTCTGACGTCAGCATTCATTCGCGATGGAAATTGATTCTGGTTTTGATGGTTAAGGAATACTGTTTTATGCGTGCAAATATTGCAGAACGATCGAGAACGACGAAACATTTACATTAAGAACATTTGAAATGTAAACTGTTTGGAATATTGCTGGAAAAAATTGAGTTCCTCGTTGAAACAGTAGACTTTGAGTATAAAGCATCGTTAGACACCCAGTTCCCGGTGTCACGATAGAAAGATAACGATGACGTTTACGACGAATGGAAAATATTCCTCGGATTTTCAAGAAAAACAGCAACCGAGACTCATTAGCATACGTTTGATGCAAATTAGAATCAGGCGTACGAAGAAAAATTCATTGAATCTCGGTTTATACGTTTCGGGCACATTAAATGATAAGAGTTTTTCATTCCAGAAGAGTGGTTTTTCCTGTATACTTTCTCCTTGTTTACACGGTTTATACGAACGATGCATGTACTTAAGAAAATATCCACATCGATGCAAATACACGCATACCTGTACCTGTATTGTGCAATATCGATTATCTGAAACAGCTGTTTTCAAGCACGTGAATGCGTAAACTAGTTAAAGTACATGCATAATGTTATGAATAACAAGTATTCGTGTCTATAATGCATGTATAGCATTTTAATTAAGACTTCTGTTCGGTTGTTTCTTTTATTATTGCCCTACAACAAAGCATTGCTTTTCCTCTGACGTGTTCACGTAAAAAGACGATACTATCAAATAATAGAAAATTTTGTACATTATGTTTATCGAACAAATATATAATTTGAGACGTTATCAAGACGATCGTAAAACGAGATGGGTTTAGATGATTTTTCAAAATTTGGTTTTATTAGAATACTATTCTTCCATATAAATTGGAAGTTAAAAACTTGGTTAGATATGTTTTTTTCCAGCATCGTCTGGCACCTAAAATATTAATACATAGTGCCTCAACAATTGTAGTACAACTGTTCAAAAGAAATGTGTTTTAATAAGTAAAACGTGTACAAAAAAGCAAAGTTGCCCCAGGCAGCAAAATACTTAGACACGTTCCTGCATATAAAACTCGACATAACATATCTGTAAATACAATAACTGTTTCGTAAATAGAGATAACTCATTTATCTTCTAAGGTTGATTCCATTAAAGTAATGGTTCAACCTGCTACCAGGTTGCTGCACGGATATCTGTACTAAAGACTCGCAATCAATCAACCACACTGTATATTCTACAAATTTTTAAATTCGTTTTCCTGGATAACAGAACGTCGTACAACCAAATTTTATTGAATATTCTCGAAAAATTGCCCTTGTCTGTGTTGCATTACGATTGTCAGGGCACCCTGTATAAAGGAAAAAGGGCTATATCGTTTTACTAACTTTTTATTTAAATGTTTTCGGGTTTCTTCGTTTCTGCGTATTTCTATCATGGAAACATACGAAAGTGTTTTATAAAAATTTGAAACAAAATTAAAATCGTGTCAACATACTTATAAAAGTACACGTAACGATGAAAATGGTAAGTATGGTAACTTACGTCGAAATTGCATTTAGAAGTTAGATGGGTCGCGGTAATTGTGATTTGATACTGATAATAATGTGTTAATATATAAATTAGTTACAATACAGAAAGTATTGTGTGAAGTGAAGGGTGCGCGCGAGGCCACCTAGAAAGGATACTTCCCGTAGGCAGTAGATCAAGCGTTGCGCTGATAATTATTTATTCCAACGAATACGTAACTCCTCGAGACCAATAAGCCGCAAGTTGTATGCGTCAAATCTCCATTTCTGTGAAATAACGATTAAAAACACGTGCCAGCCGCACTTTGGCGTTATAGAAAGTAAGGCTCGAATGTCTCGCTGTCGTTACGCTGGGCGTGAAAATAATGGGGTATCGATAATTGTCGGGTATTTCATATACCAATGAATCACCATATTATCGTAGTTGGTATTCAGGCCAATAATAATTAATAGACGCGATAAAAAAGCAAACGTTTAATAAAAATGTTCTATCGAAAGTCCCCGGCTTGAAGAAGAGCACAAACTTAATAAAAACATCCAATTTAGAAAAAAAATTTAATGAAAATATTCGATCGTAAATATACAGCTTTAAGAAAAGAGTAAATACGTAACAAAGATATTGAAACGAAAACATTCAACGTTTCTATTTTTTGCTTTTTCCCAATGTCTGTTATTCTTTTGAGAACGAACGAAAATGCAATCGCTTGGAGATTCACTATTGTACGACGTAATTACAGAGCCAAAGAAGGGTCTTCTTTTGTATATTTAATTGTCGCGTATGTGCTTTGGACGCGTTCGCAGGGCAATGCATCCAGTTACTCGTGCATCAATGATCGATCGCCCTCTGGGTCCACCACGTGATGAAGCACGTGAGATAATTAATTTCCCTTAAACGCAATTCGATCTAACTAACCCGTTAAATACCTAATTACTGGTTTTTTAAATTGATATTGTTTTTGTATATTTCGCAAACTTCCAAGGAAATACGAGTAACCATACAAATCTGTTGGATGATTAATAAATGATCATTTACAAAATTGAATCTAACAGTGAGAAACACTGTACATTGTCTGCATATAAAGACCGTATTGGCACCATCGAGCCTAGGGGCCTGGGTCTGTTTTGTCGTCGAGGGCCAGAGAAATAAACATGATGCAGACAATGCTTCTTTCCTTTTTTAAGTGGACGCCAGATTTTCCTTTAGGGGGTCTAAGCGTCGCTTCACTTCTTGTTCAGTTTTAACAGAGTGAAGACGTCCTTCTGAACCGTACAATAAAGTTTCACTTTTAGTTACAGAAGAGTACTGCTTTTTCACCCAATTCCAATAAAATCTCATACTTTTTTAAGAATTAAAGATTATCGGTGCAACAAATATTTGGTAAAACTTAAGACTATTGTAATATAAAGATCTTGAGACGAAAATGTGTGCAATTCATCAAGCACGTATGCATCACAGCAAAACAGACGAGAAACCGAACTGGAATCATAATAAACACATGGGTAAAGTATGGTTCGCTTACGTCACGTTTGGTGAGTAATTTGAAACAGTAAAATTGGATTGTTATGGGCCGGATTTAGATTCATTATCTCGACTCGAAGGTTTACTATATATTTTTCTAAGGATCATTTCCAAAATTAAACGTCTACGTACTATCGTAATTCATACTATGTTTATTTTGGAAAAAGAAAATAATTACCACACGCGTTTTACATCCTTTGAGTTAGTTCTTTCTACGTATAACATTATAATTATTCTTCACAATGGAAAGTTTATCAGAAAAGAATTTTATTCCAATAAGAAGTAATTCAAATAACAGCCAACTGTTCTTGGGACGTTGGAGGGTTGTTTGTTTCGCTAGCAGACGTCCATTTTATAAATCTCATAAGTTGTTAAGACGCAACGAAATCTTATAACGCGACGACTGCGAATAAAAATACGAGGGAGCAAACGCATAAATTACGGAACCGATTCTGTAAGCGGTGTAATTTACGGGAGTGGAGAGTTCGATTCGTCTGTTTACGCGTAACCGGCGAAAGAATGGCGAGTCTGGTTTTTGCGCATTCCACGGACGATTTACGTGAGATATTATCGGCCGTTAACGTTAAATGCCGCGGTTAAAGGCGCGGATAGCGAAGTAATGAAGTAAACTGTGGCCACGGTCAGTTTACGAGATACAATCAAAGAGAAGGTTATTACGACACCCGTATTAATCCATGCCCCGTTTGTGTAAATACGCGAGCTTGTGTTCGACTGAAACGTACAGCTGGTTACGACAGTGAACACTTACGGTCGAAAATTTTAACGAACAGGATATGCAAATTACAAATTTCGAAATATTACTGTGACTGCAGCGAGACGTCGCTGTTACGATTTTAGTAGACCACTTTGGAGAAAATCCAGCCAAAGTTAATGGTACTGCTATTAATAATATTATTGCTTTTGTTGCGCTACGCAAAAACAAAGCTCACATTTAGAGCGGTGTAAAAGTCGAGGCTCCGGTGCTCTGTTATTAAGCCTAACCTGTAATTATTATGAAAATCGTACCATAAATTAGAGTCGTATGATGCCAGT